CCGGGAAGGCGGGAGGGCGCCGCCCGCCCGCCCCTGCGCAGAGCGTGCCGCTTGGGACCGAGGGCCAGGGAAGCGCGTGGACGGCACAGAGGGGCAGCCGGCGGACAAGCCCCGAGCCCCCGGGTGCCCAGGAAAGCCTGGGGCAGGGCTGAAGGCCCAGGGAAGGTGGCCGCGTCGCCCGAGCCATCGGGGACCTTCCAGAAGCTGTGCCGCCCGTGCGCCGCCTAGACGAGGCCCTGGAACCTCCCGGGTCCCGGTGTGTCCTCAGAGATGTCCCCACCGGAGGGGCTGGACGAGGCGATGGCGGAGGAGTCGGGCCGAGGACTGCGACAGCGCCGGCTCCGTTGCCGTCCGGACGGGGCTTCTGGGCCGGGCGGATCCGGCGCCGCCCTCCTTGCTGCCGCCCGGCCCGGGCAGCCGACTTGGCTCCCGAGAGCTGGTGGTATCCGCCCGCCGGGCGGGCCCCGGGGCAGCGCCCCTGTGTCTCTGCCCCGTCGGCCTCTCCTGCCGGGCGGGCCCGGTTCCCCGGCTCGCTGGCTCTGCCCTCGGGGAACACGTCAGGCCCGGAACCCCGCAGGCGCCTCCAACCGCCCACAGCGCGGTGGGCCCCTGGGCCGTAACTTGGGGGAGTCTGTGCTCCGTCTCCAGCTCCTTCGGTTTCTTCTCCTTAGCATCAGTGCGGTGGCCAGTACTTGCCTCGTTGTGGTCCTCGGCACGGTCGTCATGATGGCTAAGCCTCGTGATTTTTATGATTTCTCCTTCCACTCTTGAGGGATATTGTGGCGGTATTTGTACAGCATCGAATGAAGCCTCTCCCAGGTAGATCCCTCCCGCTGCACTGGATGGTCCTGCTTTTCCAAGGGCATCCCGCAAGACTCCAAGTCCCTCTCCTGAAGCAGTGACCAGGGAAAGGAGCAGGGGGCTTTGGGGAAGGCCCACGTGGACCTCTGGTAAAATTTAAATTCGCCTCCAGGGCCCATCCATGGATTGCTCCAGCCTGGAAGCCCCATGAGTTGTCCTTGGGTGACCTGAAGCACCACAAAATTATTTCAGTCAAAGCTGGGGCCCAGAAACTGCTCCTGCCTTCTGGGAAAGACCAGAGTTGGTGTGTCTGCCCATGTGAACCTCCTCAGAATTTTCCATATCGGTTCAGGAGCTCTGGAAACACGGAAGCTGAAAATGGAAGTTCAGAGATGGCTTCTTAGATGTATCTGAGAAACAGGAAATCTTAAAAGTCACCTTGGCAACCAGGATAAGCTGGTGCAATATTAGAAGGCACCGGAGGGGGACCCTTTTCACCAGAGCAACTGCAAAAATTTTTGTCAGGTCCTAGGAATAGCTCAGGACTACCCAGAATGACAGGAGGAGGCATCCATATTCACCAGAGCTTTCGGAAAATTGTCTATGTGAGTTTAGGAACTAGGAAACTGCCAGTAAGGAAATGCAGGCACATGGATGATGCCATGGGCTGGTGTGAGCCTCTGGAAACGTGATAGATAACTGAAAGTGTCCAGGAATGGCTGGCGCTGCCCTAAACAGCACAGAGACCGTGAATTGCCATGCTGGAGCAATTGCAAATTAGTTTCTAAGTTCTTCAAGGAGCCAGAAAACCAGTGTGCCAGCCCGTGTTACCCACGCTGGAATGACAGGTGATGGTCAACAGTCCCCTATAGCCACGGATGGCGATATGCAAACTCAGATGTCCAGAACTCGAGGTGTCTTGGTAGAAAAGATGCAAAAGGGATGACAGATGCAGATGTCACTAAGGAGGTTTACATTGTTTAACAAAAATTTCAGAGAAATAATAAAAAATTCATGGAGTGGGGTCAACCATCTGCATAGTAAAGCAACTTACCCAGTTGATGTTATGCACAGTAATGATTAAGATTCCTCGGATCTAAATCTATAGAGACGCTACCAAGATTTAAGGAAGACAGTTTTCCTGCCTGTACCCACACCTCCAGTGAGACGCAGATCTAGAGACCTAGAACTCAAGTCCAGACCTCCGGCTTCCATACTCAGGGGCGTTTCACTGCCCTGTATTGTTCCACTTGGAGACAAGAATCTGAGATAAACGGCCACGTGATTCATCTCCCTCTCAGCTCCAAGGTGTGCAATCTTGTCCTGGCAAGCAAGAAGCTCACGCATTAGCGGAGGAAGCAAGTATATGCTCAGTAAACCAACGTACAAAGCAGTAAGCTCTACACCATAAGCAAAGCCCTTTGGGGACTCAGGCCAGGGGCGAGTGGGTGATTAATTATTAGCAGACTAGTAAAGTCTGGGGCGTATTCAAGAACAAATTGCCCCGTCATTAACTCAACCAACTGGTTCCTCAACATAGCCTATTATAACAATATCAGTGGTTGTTTTTAAACTTCAACCTTTTGCCAAAGTGTGTGTACCTTGTGTTCCCTATTTAGCAAGGCTTTCTGGTCAAAACCGCACACCCACATCCTTCTCATGAACGGAGTGTCCAGCAAAGCAAGGACTCTCAGTCTTCCCGTTAAGGTGATTCTGCATACACAGAACACCTCTGTCCACGAACGTCCCTAATGAGGTACAGAAGGACACTTATTGTCCAGACAAAGACATTCCACTGACGCTGGTTTTCTCTGCCTCCTGGAAATGAAGCCAAGCTTTCTTCTTTCTCCAGCCATGAGGACTGCTGCCCTCCACTTTACCTTTCTCCTCTGTATGAGTCAAGTTCTACCAGGTAACAAGATACACTTCGGTAAGAGTTGAGTGCCTGAGACCGTAGGGGAATCCAGTACTCAAAATAACCATCATCTTTGACTGAGAATGGGGTTCTCCTAGAAATCTGGAAGAGCCATTGGCTGAGAGGCCTGCAACCACCTGATTCAATACTTCTCCATGGCAATTCTCAGATGGAATTGAAGTCAAGGGTGTTCCAAGTGATTGAAACACTCTTTATCACTCCCCGTGAATTTAGTTAGGCAAGTTTACTAGCTGTTTCTAGATCTCAAAAACAAATAATAAGGCATTATTCCACTAAATCTTGGTCTCCAAAACTGCTCTATTTCTTTCAGCAAAATAGTTAGTTATCCTGAGACACTGGCATTAGAGTTATGCCAAAACTGTAGCGGGCTTAGAAAGAAAGGATTGGTGGGGGACTGTCCCTGAAAAGATTGCTGGAGTCTGAGAAATCTCCAACCTCTTGCCTCTTAATACTGTTGGTCCCTTGGGCTTGACAGTTTTCCCTTCAGGGCCCATCCTAATCCCTGGCTTTCCCTCTTTCTTTTCGACACCTAGTCTCCCAAAGCAGAGCTTAAACACAGGGATCAGAGGTGACCCTGAAGCACAGTGTATTCCTTCTGCATTTGTCATGCAAATACAAGTCACAGGTGTAAGGCACCTTGCACAGATGTGCTTTGGAGGAGTGTGTGTAAGCCTCTTTGCTTTTGCCCAAGACAATGAGCAGACGCCAAAAATAGATCAGGAAATTTCCTGGAACTCCTGAATATGTAGGTCTACAAAAAAAAAAAAAGCAGGATATTGCCTTATATTTGGTGGAATGTCTTCTTATCTTTTCCGGAGAATTCAGGACCTTGAGGGTCGGGGAGGTACAGGAAAATGGTCACAGACATGTGAGAACGTGGACAATCTTTCTTATTTATTTTAATTAATTAATTTTATTTTTTTCAATATAACAAAAAAAATTTTTTTTTATTTTAAAGATGTGGGGTACAATTCAGGGTTGGGTATACAAATGTTCATTATGCAGGTACCCTTGTGGATGAGGTTGGCGGTTTCCCTCAACTGCCAATCCCACCCCCTACCCCCGACAATCTTTCCTAAATGTCAGGAACTGGTGATTGCTGTGCTTACGTCACTTTCCAAAAGACACTTCCCAAAATTTATGACAGAAAAATCTAATGAGCAGCTTGCCTATTCTTAGTGAATCCAGACTTTCCTACCTAAATATGTGATAGCAAATTTTGAAGGACTATTTATGCGGGTGGGCAGCTAGTCCTTCAGATTTGGGGATGAGGGGGAGCTTGTGAGACACTTCCCACTGTGCTTCAAGAAACTAATCTGGAAGAAGCAAAAGGTGGAGAGCAAAGTCGGGAGAGAATATGAGGCGAAAAACCACCTCGGTAGATCAGATAGTTTTTAGCATCCTCTGTATGTGGGCCCTTCCAAAGAAGCAAGTATTCGAAGGTCAAAGGTATATGGTGGCCCTCGGCTCCCAAGAATCCATCCATGGGCCAATCTTTTTGACCGCTGTGTAGTCTAGGAAAGAGTCAACCAACCCCTACAATACAGCATCAGCATACAATGAAGAAAACGCTTTTTAGTGAGAGCCATGAGAGAAAATACGGCCAAAAGAAAGCCAAAAGCTAAACTAGTACAAAGCTTGAAAGCCCAGGCACTAAACTTTAAGGGATCTCCTTGTGGGAGCAGGCTCTGGAAGGAAAATTGTAACATCGGTTTAGTACAAAGAGTGTTTGAGTTTCTACCCAAGGTTTCCACCTGTCACTTTTTCTTGGCGATATGGTGTGTGTGCGCGCGCACACGCGTGTGTGTGTGTTTTGTATATGTCTTTGCATGTGTATGAAGTATATCTTCTATCCCACACACCACATGGTTTTCGGACGAATAAGAGGCTGAATTGCAACTCTATCCCCAGGGCTGCTGGTTAAGCTACTCCATCACATTGTTGAAGAACTGCTATGTAAGAGGCTCACTGAACATTTTACAAATTACTTTGAAAATGCTTTCTTTTTTTGTGAAAGGAAGAGTATGTTTTTCAACAAATGCAAGCTTTTTTAACAAAACAAAGGAACAGTTAACCTTGTTGTGACGAGCAGGAAAGCTATGATAGCTGCAGACACTATGAAATCATCCCGAGACAAGATTCAAATAGACATTAAAGATGATTGAGTCCATTTTTCTGGTTTTACAGAGGAAAAGAAGGAAGGCCCTGCAAAACAAAGCGCCTCTCCCAAGAGTGGGCTGAACGTCAGAGTCAAGGCTTCCACCCCAGGGTTTTCTTGTGCTGCTGTCTTTGTGAGATTCTTCAAAGACTGGCAAAAGGTGACACAATATGCAATTATATTAACTCTGTGGTGCACAAAACTGGTTACCTTAATATAAAAGATATATTACTGATTAGAAGACCCATCTAATCAGTACTTATTTAAGTGGTCACCCTTGCTGAATATATGGGTTTGATTTTTTAATCAATTAAAAATATTTTAAAATGTATGTCTTACATCCATATTCCCCCCACCCCCTGCAGGAAATGAATGCTTCTAATCAGGATTTTAAAACTTCCAAATTCCCCAAGAGTGACTCAATTGACTGACGGACTGTCCCCACCTGCAGGGAGGCCGGACTGCCACAGCCTCTGTGGCTGCTCCCAGAGGTTTCAATTTCCTTTCCTTTTTTTCCCTAAGAAAAAAATAATGTTCAGAATAATCTTCTGATAGCTTTCATTGTTGAACTTAATAAACCGACCTTAAAATTTCAAATTAAAAAGAACTTCCAAATTTAGAAAACCTGAGTCATTTTTTAAAACTTTTTCTTGTCACACAACCAAAACAGAAGAAAGTAACATGATAGAAGAGCAGAGAAAAATGCATTATTAAAAGCCAAAATTAAATGCAATGGGACTAGAGAAGAAAATGCAGGACAAGCCTAAAAATAGCAATCTGCATGAAAGATGCGTCCTCTCTGGCAGGTATTTCCAACTTTTAGGTGGACGTTGCAGCATTAGGTGGGCATTTGCGGCAGAACCACAGATTTTTTTTTTTTTTTTTGTGGAAGGCCCAGGAAGGAGAGGAGGATACAAAAAAGAGGCAAAGGGGAAGTAGAATGGGGCTCAGAATGCCCAAGCCTCAGTTCTGTCTCTATCATCTTCCTTGTTAGATCACTAGGGGATCTTGGACATGTTTCATCCTTTCTCTCAGTCTCCATGATGTCCAATGTAACTTTAACTTTTGTTTCTAAAGCAAATAGCTGGACATGTGTGCCCACAATATGCAATATACAAGGTTTACAAGTAAAGAACAAATGAAAACAAAAAAGTAGACTGGGTGTGGTGGCTCACTCCTGTCATCCCAGCACATCGGGAGGCTGAGGTGAGAGGATTGCCTGAGCCCAGGGGTTCGAGACCAGCCTTGGCAACTTGGCGAGACCTCACCTCTATAATAAATATAAAAATTAGCCCAGTGTGATGGCATGTGCCTGTAGTTCCAGCTGTTTGGAAGGCTGAGGTGGAAGGATCGCCTGAGCCCAGCAGGTCGAGGCTGTGGTAGCCATGAGCATGTCACTGCACTCCAGCCTGGGTGACAGAGTGAGACCCTGACTCAAGAAGAAGAAGAAGAAGAAGAAGAGGAGGAGGAGGAGGAGGAGGAGGAGGAGGAGGAAGAGGAGGAAGAAGAAGAAAAGTGCCCCAATGTGTCTTGAATGCTTACAAACAATAATATGCCATATTTTTACAAAGCTCTTTTGAGATCTGAAAATTTAATGCTCAATAAAATCAGCTGCAGGAAAATGGCACACCTGATTCTAAGACATGTGCGCTGAGAATAACAACATATTTCCTCACAAACATGTTACAGAATGGAAAAGAACTGCATTTTAATTATTTCACAGTCATTTACTGAATACTTATTAGATGTCAAGACTTGAGTCAGATTCTGGAATACACATTCAGACAATAGGACGTGATTCCTGTCTCAAGAAATTTATCAAGAATTGAGGTCAGATGGGAAAACAATGCCTGTAGCAGAATGCAAAAAAATTTCACAACAGAGGAATGTTCCTGAGTAATTTATCACCTGTTACAAGACATGTCAGTGGTTCATCCTCTATAATGTAGAGGGTATAATCTCATATGACGCTTCTAGCTGCAGAAGGCCAATTTTAGCCCAAGGTCAATGGGAGACAGATGATAGATAGATAGACAGATAGAAAGAAAGAAATTGACTTACAGAAAAAAGGAAATGATACAAAGTTCAGGAATCAAAAACTCAGATTTCAGCTGGTTTCTACCAAGTGCTCAATACTTTGATCATTGATTTTTAAAAATCCTTAAAATTATTTTCCAATTTACATTTTAGTAGAAATATGATGTTGCATGTTAGGTCTTCATAGCCATTAACTAATTGTTTTATGACTGTTGAAGAGTTAAACTCAATGCATTTGGATTTCAGTTCAAGTCATTTCAGTAGGCACTTACTGAATCTATAAAATATGCGCTGTGCTGATTTGAAGCTCTTCAAGAATTGGACTTTGTGTTCAGAATAGAAAAAACTAGTAGTGCTGGTTTTGATCCTTTAGTGTCAGCAAAGAGATTAAGCACTTGTCATGCAAAAGATGCACTTCGTTACATATGGATGCTGCCCAGAATTAAACCACTTTGGAAGCTGAGTACCTCAATGTGTGTGTCCTAACCCCACAGCAGTGATATCTTAGGATATCAATCAAATCCTGTTCAATGTTTTCAACAAGTATAGTTGTTCAACCCCTCATCCAGAACTTGAATGTTTCACTCTTAACGTATGCAGTGGTTTCTAGGCAGGATTACAGCCTCCAAAGACCAGTGCCAGTGAAATAGAGAGTGCGTGAATCAAGCCATGAGATGGAACAAGTACTGACACAGACATATTTGTGTACTAAATATGTAGGAATGCTGTTCCCTTCCCCAGGAAAATATCTTCCCTAACAATTTCCTTAAAGCATATTATCTTTTAGATTTATGTTTCAATTCAACTTTTGAAAGACATATATGTTATAATCAATCATATAGAACATAATAAGTGTGTGTGTGTGTGTGTGTGTGTGTGTGTGTGTGTGTGTGTGTGTGTGTGTGTATAGCAAGAAAGAGAGAGAGAGAGATTTTTCTTCCCTTCTACTCCAGGAAAATTAGTAGTTCAAGACATGACTTCTTTCTTAAACTAGTGTCTGCCATGGAGTGTTTGGCAATAAGAGGAATAAGAAAGACAAACTGGAACGTGTGAACTAAAAACAAGGGAGGGTCACACAGCTCCAGTCTTTTATCATGTTGATGCACCCAATATTATCAGATTTTTCAGGAACACCAAAAAATCCAAATTTTTGTGTGACAACCAAATTTTAGTGTTTGTTTAAGAAACCACTCAGTGGCTCAGCCTGTCATCCCAGCACTTTGGGAGGCTGAGGCGAGTGGATTGCCTGAGCCCGCGGGTTCGAGACCAGCCTGGGAAACTTGGCAAGACCTTGTCTCTACAATAAATAAAAAAATTAGGCAGGCATAGTGGCGTGTGCCTGTAATTCCGGATACTTGGAAGGCTGAGGCAGAAGGATCACTGGAGCCTAGCAAGTCGACACTGGGGTGGCTGTGAACTTGCCACGGCACTCCAACCCGGGCAACAAAGTGTGACTCCCACTCAAAAAAAGTCAAATAACAACAACACAACAACAAAAAATCCACACGAAATTTTTTCCAGACACTTCCTCCAACCCATTGTGATTCAATACAGATTCAGGGAGACTAATAAGTGGCTACAGTTACCCTCTTCTATGTGCAGCCAGGGGGAAGTTCAAGGAGATCTGTGAGCGTCCGAATGGCTCCTGCCAGAACTTTTGCCTCGAAACAGAAATCCACGTTGGGAGATGTTTAAATAGCCAACCATGCTGCCTGCCTCTTGGGAACCAACCAAGAATTGAGAATACTACTCCCAAGAAGAACTGAAGCCTTTGGATGCTGGGATGTTTACTTTTTTTCTCTCTCTCTCTCTCTCTTTCATATCATTGTATTGAGTCCTCAAGAATAAATCAAACTAGCAAACACAAAACCTATTTTTAAAGTTCATATTATCACTTGACTGCTGTTTGGTTCCCAGTCCAATCCATCTTTCTATGTTGTATGGGTGAGCTCCTAGTTGAAAATGACCTAAGGTGGGGTAGGAGCACTTTCACCATCATACCTATTGTTTTTGTCTGACACTGCAGCCCTCACCCTGCATTTGGGGCGACAACTCCCCTCTACCACACTAGGAAAATACACTACTTTATATGTAGCCCTACAAGGCTCCCTCCCTGCAAAATGGCCGCACACAGGAAAACTTGCACAATCAGATTTCATATCAATCAGTCTTCACCAAAAACCTGAATCATGAACAGGGTTACACACAGATAAAGGCAATGTATTCTGCACCCTCTTCAAAGGCAGTGCCCTGGGTCTGTACGTGCATTCCTAGCCGAGATCCAGGACTTTCTCTAGTTCTCAACTTTCACTAGGTATGATCATTCAGCATTTTCTTCCTTCTTATAAACCACTGCATTGGCTTCCTATGGCTGTTGTAGCAAATTGCCACAAACTTGGTGGCTTAAAATAAATGTATCATGCAACAGTTTTGTACGCTAGAAGTTTGACATGGCTCTCAGTCCAAAATCAAGGTGTAAGCAGGGCTGAGCTTTGTTCTGTAGGCTCTGTGGTTCCCTTCTGTGTTCCATCTGTAGCCCAGCGATGGCAGGTTACTGCAGTGCATCATGACCCCCTCCTTCCATCTTCAGTGTCATTGGTGGCTTGTTGAATCCTTCCCACAATCCCTCACCCTGAACTTGCCGTCTGCCTCTTGCTTTGTGGAGGACTTTCATGATTAGATCGGGTCCACTTGGATCATCCAAAGTCATCTCCCTATTTTAAAGTCAGTTGATTAACAGTCTTTATTCCACCATTCCTGCAACCTCAATTCCCCTTTTACCATATAAGGTGACATAGTCACAGGATCCAGGGATTAGAATTGGTGGAAGGGGGAAGGGACATTATTTAGCCTACCACAGTCACTGTGTGTTTTTCCCACACATCACCATTTTGTTTCATTTAGATACAGTTTTAGTTGCTTTGTGTAAAGAGAGTCTCATTGAGAGAGTTCTCTATTGGGTGTAAAGCTATGGTCACTTGAAAATTATAGAATCAAGACATTGAAAAGCGTATTAGCCGGATTTTGTCCCTCACTCTCCCTGATTTGGCCAACAGGGAATGTCAAGTTGTGCCACGTGCACTACTCAAAATCTTAAAATCTCAGAGACTTACATAGGTTCCAACCAATTCTACTCCACGTAAGGTGTCAAGTTTTCCTCAATTATATTCTTGAAATTATGTCACCAACTAACTCTTCAATATATCTTTGCACTGTATATTATGTATTCCTTGGAGTAAGCACCCGCCTGGAAGAGAAGCAGTTTGGACAAGTACATTAAAGCCATCACAGTGAATTTTATCCTCACATTGTTGGAGTGATCTCTAAGATGGCTGACTGGAGGCAACCGGCACTTGGTTCTTCCAAAAAAGAAGGACCAAAAAACCACATGTGTAGAAAGCCATACGTTGAATAGAGTATAGGGTTCATAGAAAGCCACATGTTGAATAGAGTCTCTCTCTTAGGAGAGAACACTAGAATTCCAGAGGGAAATGATAGAGAACTTGTGAGGCATTTAAGGTGAGGGAAGCAAAGTGGCCAGCCCCGCCAGGATCAGCTTGAAACGAGGAGAAACTCTCCAGTGTGGGGGACAGGTAAACACAAGGTCCCAGCGGTGCACATTCCCATGGTGAACTCCAGCAAGCCCAGCCATGGGAGAGTCCCTGTGCCCTTGCAGGCCCTGATGCTAGTCTTTGAAGCTGCCTGGAACCCAAGCCAGGATGTTGTTCCAGAGGAACTGGTACTCGGTTCCACACACCCACTGAGACACAGCAGTGGACGCACAGTGCCTTTTTGAGACCCCAGCCCCTACCAGACTATATCCTGGTCTGGGGCCCATCAGTCCTTCCACTTGCACATCACTGGACCCTCAGTGACATGCCCTCATGTCCCCCCAGAGGGCCGCAGAGTCAAAACACCTGCTAGACCCAGCAGTGCAGCCTCGCCTCACACTCCATCCCACACAGCGTCCCAAAATCTGGGGAACGGCAGAGCAGCACACCGGGGGTTCTGCCCCCAGGAGGAAGGGGGTTGAAGCGTGCACCCTCCCAGAAGCTGAGAACTGCCTCTCTGGGGCCACCGACAGCAATCTCACCCCACCCCAGCACTAGGGCCGCCACGCGCCTGCAGCCACCTTTAGGTGGCCTGGGAACTAGGCCCCTGGGCCACTGTCTCCCAGTCTGAGAACAAGCATGTCTCACGGCCTGCCACCAGTGTCACTGCCCAAGTTCACCAGCAGGGGGCAGGGGATTCACCCATCTTGCCTGCTACAGCTGCACTCACACACACCGTTGGGACAGCTGGCCATAAGCCCACTTGTCTGCTGCCACCACCAGCACCCAAGCACTTTGGGCTGGAGAGTCAGCCTGTTCTATCTGTCACCACCAGTGCCTGTGAGCACCATCAAGGGGCCTGACCACAGTCCCACTCCATCCCCAACGGGTGCCCACGCACGCCATCCCGGGGCCTGAGGAAAGGCCAGCCCCACCCACGGCCACCACAGCTGATGCCTGGGAATGCCTTCGGGAAGCCTGGAAATCAACCCACCCATCTGTGCACACAATCAGGGGTCCTGGGGACAGGCCCACCCACCAGGTGCTGCTCTAGACAATGGCTGCACGTGTCATCTGGGGCTGGGGCTCCACCTACCCCACCCTCTACCACTGGCCCCTGCACGCACCTTCTGGTGGTCTGAAGACGGCCTGCCTCGCCTTCTGATGTCTTACTTGTCATCCACGTTCTAGGGCTTAGCCAGACACACCCACCACTGCTGGCATGGGCACCTGCTTCCCAGGAGCCTAAGGATAGGCCTGCCCAGCCTGCCACCACCACGGCCACCAGCACTCACCCACATGCACCAGGTGAGCACCTGAGATTTGCTCTGCTCGGCACACTACCACCAACATTGGTGCCGGGATGTGCCGCCTGGGAGTGCGAGGGCTGGCCCCCCACCACTACTGCTATTGCTGGTACCACACACACCTACCAGGGCATGAAGACCCACACACCTGTCTGGTACACTGCTGGCCAGCACCTGAGAAAGCCACTCAGAAGCCCAGGGATTGGCCTTCCCAAATCCTCTACCACCGGTGCCCACGTGCATCACCCAGAGAGGCAAAGACCAGCATGACTGGCCCACGACAACTACCGCCAGTGCCTGAGGGCTGACCCACTCAGAATTCTCTTCCCTAGCAAAATCTCACCACAGCCTCCACTAACAGTCAAAGACTAAGCCACTGAGGAACCCACAGACTCCACTGATGCCAATTATGGTTGAATAAATCATACAGAGACTACACTACTGCACCAACACAGAATTAACGCCAAAGTGTCTTACCCAACCAGCATAAAAATACAGCTACAGAAAAAAGTCTTTCACCACAAAAGCCAATCCATAAAGCTAGAAGAATTGGCTGTTACACCAGGTGCACAGATATCAATGTAAGGACACAAGAAATATTAAAAAGCAAGAAACATGACACCTCCAAAGGAGCACAATAGTTCTCCACCAACGGATTCCAACAAAGAAAGAAATCTATAAAATGAGTGACAAATAATTCAAAATAATGATATTAAAGAAGCTCAACGAGATACAAGAGAATGCAGGATAAACACCACAAATAAATCAGATAAACAATTCATGGTCTGAGAAATTCAACAGAGATAGACATCATCAATAAGAGATAAACGGAAATGCTAAAACTTAAGAATTTAATACATGAAACAAAAAATGCAAGTGAGATCCTCAACAATAGCCTAGTGAAACAGAAGAAAGAATTTCTAAACATGAAGGTAAGTCTTTTAAGATTACCCAATCAGGCTGGGCACGGTGGCTCATGCCTGTGGTCCCAGCACTTTGGGTGGCCAAAATGGGAAGATGGCTTGAGATCAGGAGTTTAAGACCAACATAGTGAGCAACATAGTGAGACCCTGTCTCCACAAAAAATGAAAACAACCCAATCAGACCAAAAAAGATAGAATAAAAAGAACTTAAAATTTTTATATTGCATATGAAACATTATAAAGCCACCAATTATTGGAATTATGGATATTCCAGAAGAAGAGAGAGACAAAGGCATAGAAAGCTTATTTAATAAAATAATCGCAGAAAACTTCCCAAGTCTTATAAGAGATATAGACATCTAGACAGGAAGCTCAAATATTCCCACATAGATTCAATCCAAAAAAAGGTCTTCTCCAAGACACATTATAGCCAAGTTGTCTAAAGTCAAAAGACAAGGAAAGAATTCTAAAAACAGCAATAAAAAATAACTTCAATTCACATATTAAGGAATTCCCATCAGTTTAACAGTGGATTTCTCAGCAGGAACCTTAGAAACCAGAAAAGTAGCAGTGATATGTTTAAAGTGCTAAAAGAAAAAAAAAAACCTGCCAGTCAAGAATTCAATACCCAACAAAGTCAATCTTCAAAAATGGAGAAATAAAGTCTTTTCCAGACAAACAAAAAACAAAGGAATGTATAACCATTAGACCAACCATAGAAGAAATGTTTAAATAAGGTATACATCTAGAGGCAAAGGGCAATATCAACCATCATAAAAACAAACAAAAGTACAAAACTCATTAGAGAACCCAGAAATAAGCTCCCATTTTACAGCCAGCAGATTTTATCAAGGTGTCAAGAACATACATTGGAGAAAGAGCACCCTCTTCAATAAATGGTGCTGGGAAAACTGGAAATTCAAATACAGAAGGAAATTGGGCCCCATCTCTCATCATGTACAAAAATAAACTACAAATGGATTAA